AAATTGAACGATCAAACCTTTAAACAGTTAGGATCGTCTCAAATTCCCATCTTGGTCAAACCTTTAAACAGTTAGGACCAAAGCCAAAATCCCCTCTCGATTCGTTCCATGAACGAGAGGTCCACAAATTGAACGATCAAACCTTTAAACAGTTAGGATCGTCTCAAATTCCCATCTTGGTCAAACCTTTAAACAGTTAGGACCAAAGCCAAAATCCCCTCTCGATTCGTTCCATGAACGAGAGGTCCACAAATTGAACGATCAAACCTTTAAACAGTTAGGATCGTCTCAAATTCCCATCTTGGTCAAACCTTTAAACAGTTAGGACCAAAGCCAAAATCCCCTCTCGATTCGTTCCATGAACGAGAGGTCCACAAATTGAACGATCAAACCTTTAAACAGTTAGGATCGTCTCAAATTCCCATCTTGGTCAAACCTTTAAACAGTTAGGACCAAAGCCAAAATCCCCTCTCGATTCGTTCCATGAACGAGAGGTCCACAAATTGAACGATCAAACCTTTAAACAGTTAGGATCGTCTCAAATTCCCATCTTGGTCAAACCTTTAAACAGTTAGGACCAAAGCCAAAATCCCCTCTCGATTCGTTCCATGAACGAGAGGTCCACAAATTGAACGATCAAACCTTTAAACAGTTAGGATCGTCTCAAATTCCCATCTTGGTCAAACCTTTAAACAGTTAGGACCAAAGCCAAAATCCCCTCTCGATTCGTTCCATGAACGAGAGGTCCACAAATTGAACGATCAAACCTTTAAACAGTTAGGATCGTCTCAAATTCCCATCTTGGTCAAACCTTTAAACAGTTAGGACCAAAGCCAAAATCCCCTCTCGATTCGTTCCATGAACGAGAGGTCCACAAATTGAACGATCAAACCTTTAAACAGTTAGGATCGTCTCAAATTCCCATCTTGGTCAAACCTTTAAACAGTTAGGACCAAAGCCAAAATCCCCTCTCGATTCGTTCCATGAACGAGAGGTCCACAAATTGAACGATCAAACCTTTAAACAGTTAGGATCGTCTCAAATTCCCATCTTGGTCAAACCTTTAAACAGTTAGGACCAAAGCCAAAATCCCCTCTCGATTCGTTCCATGAACGAGAGGTCCACAAATTGAACGATCAAACCTTTAAACAGTTAGGATCGTCTCAAATTCCCATCTTGGTCAAACCTTTAAACAGTTAGGACCAAAGCCAAAATCCCCTCTCGATTCGTTCCATGAACGAGAGGTCCACAAATTGAACGATCAAACCTTTAAACAGTTAGGATCGTCTCAAATTCCCATCTTGGTCAAACCTTTAAACAGTTAGGACCAAAGCCAAAATCCCCTCTCGATTCGTTCCATGAACGAGAGGTCCACAAATTGAACGATCAAACCTTTAAACAGTTAGGATCGTCTCAAATTCCCATCTTGGTCAAACCTTTAAACAGTTAGGACCAAAGCCAAAATCCCCTCTCGATTCGTTCCATGAACGAGAGGTCCACAAATTGAACGATCAAACCTTTAAACAGTTAGGATCGTCTCAAATTCCCATCTTGGTCAAACCTTTAAACAGTTAGGACCAAAGCCAAAATCCCCTCTCGATTCGTTCCATGAACGAGAGGTCCACAAATTGAACGATCAAACCTTTAAACAGTTAGGATCGTCTCAAATTCCCATCTTGGTCAAACCTTTAAACAGTTAGGACCAAAGCCAAAATCCCCTCTCGATTCGTTCCATGAACGAGAGGTCCACAAATTGAACGATCAAACCTTTAAACAGTTAGGATCGTCTCAAATTCCCATCTTGGTCAAACCTTTAAACAGTTAGGACCAAAGCCAAAATCCCCTCTCGATTCGTTCCATGAACGAGAGGTCCACAAATTGAACGATCAAACCTTTAAACAGTTAGGATCGTCTCAAATTCCCATCTTGGTCAAACCTTTAAACAGTTAGGACCAAAGCCAAAATCCCCTCTCGATTCGTTCCATGAACGAGAGGTCCACAAATTGAACGATCAAACCTTTAAACAGTTAGGATCGTCTCAAATTCCCATCTTGGTCAAACCTTTAAACAGTTAGGACCAAAGCCAAAATCCCCTCTCGATTCGTTCCATGAACGAGAGGTCCACAAATTGAACGATCAAACCTTTAAACAGTTAGGATCGTCTCAAATTCCCATCTTGGTCAAACCTTTAAACAGTTAGGACCAAAGCCAAAATCCCCTCTCGATTCGTTCCATGAACGAGAGGTCCACAAATTGAACGATCAAACCTTTAAACAGTTAGGATCGTCTCAAATTCCCATCTTGGTCAAACCTTTAAACAGTTAGGACCAAAGCCAAAATCCCCTCTCGATTCGTTCCATGAACGAGAGGTCCACAAATTGAACGATCAAACCTTTAAACAGTTAGGATCGTCTCAAATTCCCATCTTGGTCAAACCTTTAAACAGTTAGGACCAAAGCCAAAATCCCCTCTCGATTCGTTCCATGAACGAGAGGTCCACAAATTGAACGATCAAACCTTTAAACAGTTAGGATCGTCTCAAATTCCCTTTTGGTCAAACCTTTAAACAGTTAGGACCAAAGCCAAAATCCCCTCTCGATTCGTTCCATGAACGAGAGGTCCACAAATTGAACAATCAAACCTTTAAACAGTTAGGATCGTCTCAGAACTCCCACTTGGTCAAACCTTACTATAGTTAGGACCAAAACCAAAATCCCCTTTCGATTCCTTCCATGAACGAGAGGTCCACTTTCAGTTGAATAATCAAACCTTATGACAGTTAGGATTATTCAAACCCGTCCAGATTCTCTAAGTGGAGATCCCACTTTGAGTTTCCTTTGCACCTGGAGATAGAATATAAAATTCTTCCTCTCCATCATCGGGTTCATCTCTACCAACAAAAAAAGAGACAAGGAGATAGAATATAAATTCTTCCTCTCCATCATCGGGTTCATCTCTACCAACAAAAAAGAGACCAGGAGATAGAATATAAAATTCTTCCTCTCCGATTCTGGGTTCATCTCTACCAACAAAAAAGAGACCAGGAGATAGAATATAAAATTCTTCCTCTCCGATTCTGGGTTCATCTCTACCAACAAAAAAGAGACCTGATTACTTCAATAGGTACACGAGTCTAAACTGTTTCCCTAATCTCAACAGGAAGTTTCTGGAGAATATCACTCAAAATATTCTTAAGAATAACCTGGCTACCTCCCAACGGGTATACGAGGTTAAACTATTTCCCGAGAACTCAAAATACATGAGTATAAACTGTGTTCCTATGAAGACTGATACAGTGATTAACAATGCGGTATCAATTTGATGACAAAAGCTGAATTCACAAGTACAAATTCCAGCTTCAATTCAAGATCTCGACGACGGTCAAGCGATGAACGCCATGCCGAAAGGATCTTAGCTATTCTACAAAGCACTGAATAGACTGAGAGACAAAGAGATCAAGTGTTGAAGCCAGCTACAGGTTCTTCTATACGATCTACCCAACCAAGCATGGAAAGGATCATAAGTAAGACCTATCTTATCCAAAGCATCCCAGAACTCCTCTAAGACCTATCTTATCCAAAGCATCCCAGAACTCCTCTATAAAAGAATGAGTCTGGAATACTTTGGAGGAGATATCTGTAGGCGTCAAAAAATGCTGAGAGATATCCAAACACAGCTCAAAAGGAAGTCATCCAAAAAATTAAAAAGAACACAAGTATAGACTGTCTCGCACGCGAGACAGTCTTTACTGTCTCAGAACTCCTCTATAAAAGAATGAGTCTGGAATACTTTGGAGGAGATATCTGTAGGCGTCAAAAAATGCTGAGAGATATCCAAACACAGCTCAAAAGGAAGTCATCCAAAAAATTAAAGAAAAGACAGTCTTTACTGTCTCGGAATTACTGTTCACGAGACAGTATTTACTGTCTCGCGGGGAGAGACAGTCTTTACTGTCTCGGAAGTACTGTTCATCCTGGAGGCTATAAATACCCTCTGAGATCGATTTTTTGAGGAGGCTGATCATTTTGAGCACTTCAGAGCAATTCAGAGCAGAAAGAGGGCAGAGTACTCGAGCTTCAGCAACTCCTTGATATTCAGGCTTTGACTTGATTTCAAGAAGAACGACTATCTTACCTTGATAAGATATCGTTTCAAATTCTCACTTCGATAAACGAAGTCAGAATCATAAACCCCTCACGATTCAATCAGAATCTGTGATTTGGTGGTCCACGGGCTAACGCACCCCCGGCACAGGCAAAGATCTCACGCAAGCAGCGATCCAAACAACGATCCTGCGTTTGTTTCTCAAGAGTTGTAATTTTTATTTTGTTGTGTAAAAGAGGTCTTATAAAAAGGCTATCTCTTTTTTTGAATTTATTGTAATCGACCGAAGATATAATGGATTCCATGACAAAACCAACTTTTGACTCAAACAGTCCAAACCATCAAGATAGGTCCAAGTGCAAATTCTTTGAATAGAAAAATAAACCCTCCTCTAGTCAAGCTCAATTTGTGATTAAAAAGCTCTTATCTGAGAAAGATTCCCTTACTCAAGGATTTAAGAGTGAGGATGTTGACAATGTTAAATTAATAGAGCAGAAATTAAAGGAGAAGAAGTCAAAATTGAAATTGAGAGAGCAGAAATTAGTTGAGAATGAAGACAAACTAATAGAAAGAGAAAGAGAAGTGAGAAGTTTTGAGCTTTGTTTGAGAGAGAAGGATGATAAATTGAATACATGTAGGATATATATATATATTTGTATTTGTTATGCTTTTAGTGATATGTTGTTGGATTAGTTTGAGGTTTGATTTAACTTAGTTGAAATTATATAGTTGTTCGAATTTTTTGGTAAAGTATTTTCTTTCATTATGTAAGATGTGTGACACAATGTTTTGCTAATGCTTGTATATTTCATGTAAAGTTCTACTCTCATTTATCATTGCATACAACATTTGGATATCAATTACTTTTTATAAAAGGCAGAAACCAAAACCAACAGTAAACCGATTATTATATATCATTATATTGCTTTTAAATTTTTGAAAATTACAAAATAACTTTTCTGCAGTTAAATCCCGCTACAGTCCAGCCGGTTTTTGCGGTTTAATTCAAATATAAAACATAAGGAAGAGTTCAAATAATCCCCCCCACCCACATGTCTTCTCCATCTATTTGAACTTCCCTCCAAACCGATTTTCCCCCTCACCTGTTTCTCCCTCTATATAATCCGAGTACAATATAGTTATCACATTCAAAAGTCACTCAAACAAAAATTCCTCTCACTAGCTCATCTCACTAGCTCAGGTAATTCCACAGCTCATTACATTCATGTTTCTCACTATAATACATTTATAACTTTTAATGTTGCATGTTGCCATGTTCATCTTTGCCCCTTTAAATGTTGCATGTTGCATGTTACCTGAGTTCAAAGGCTATATCAATATATATCAATATCAATGTCCTTAACTGAAATTTTGAGACATGATCAGAGCACCAACCAATACACAAGAAATTACTGTAGCACCCTCTCAAACAAGTTCAGCGAGCCAACTGACAACCAATAAAGAAATGAAAAAAACAAATCTGCAAGAGTTTTGGCAGAAGAAAACACCTCCAAACTTAGGAAAATCATGAATCACGAATTTATATAGATATTACCTGCGGATTGACGACGCCTCTCGCCTCCTCTTCAGCCAATAACCGTCAGTGATAAGTAGTTTGTCATGTAGGAGTTACATACCCAAGTACTTTGTCATGTAGGAGGCGATGCGATTAAGAAATTACATATACAATTATTTCGTCATATTGCCGTTTGCATAGCCAAGCAAGTTAATCATGTCACTGTCCTACAAACCACAACTAATGGATAATTACATTAGTTTGCATATTACCTATATATAAATAATGTTTGCATAAATGATGAAATTAACATTTCACTACAGATTAAAGGACGCACAGATGGCGCTTGCTAGCTACTCAACCATCAGTAATTTAACCACCAAAGACAATGATGCAATCATTAAGGTAAGGGTGATTAGAATATGGGACAATGTGAATATCAAGAATGGGGATATATTCGGCTTGCATCTAACACTATTGGATGAAAATGTAAGGAACAATATATTTAATTTAACATGTTGATTACTCTTCGTATGTCATTTTGATCGAACAATAATATATACTTCAATTGCATACGACACTCACTGTCAAGGGACAATCAAACATACTAAGATATCAAGGTTTAGTTCATTGCTTGAGGAGGGAAAGATACATGTGATATCAAAGTTCCGAGTACTTACCGCATTTGGCAATTACCAAACAACGGAGAACAAAATCATAATCTGTTTCTGCAGGCAAACAGTGGTTAGAGTTCTCCAAATAGCGGACGACAGCATTGCAAAATATAAATTTGACTTTGTTCCTTTCAATGATCTATACTTATATAAAGATAAGAATACTTATCTAAGAGGTGGTAATTAATGGCCTTTTTTGTTTTACAGTTGCTAATACATGAACATGAATACTAAGTTAGCATGAATATATACTATAACAGACATTGCAGGCATTATGAAGGAAGTCTATCTGACAGGAGAGTCAACAAATTCTGGGAAAATGTCCACAGGTAAGATCTATTAAACTAATAGATGAACAGTAAGATTGTATTATTATAACTTAACCTAAAGAGAAGTTCAAAGGCATGTTAATAGTTTAATATGAATCATTTTTTTACAGGCATGATGAGTGTATGATCACATTACGGAATAAACTAGCAATCGACTTTGACTCCAGCTTTAAAGATCATGATACAAATAATGTTGTTATCGTGGTGACTGGAGTTTTAGTTAAAAACTTCAGAGGTAGAATTTAGATCGCCGTTCCTTGCATTTTAACATTCAGAAATATAAATATTCATTAATCTTTATATGCATGTATTGATACATAGGTAACAATACCGTTTCATCAATGACAGCAATAAAAGTGTACTACAATATTGATGAAGTAAGAGTTCAAAAATTACTACAAGGGTAAGAAGGTTACACAATACATTGTTAAAACTTTGTGTAACATAACTTCTAATTAATGAATCTGGAACTATCTATACTACTGATAATAACTTCTTTGTTATACATGTAGGAATACTCACAATGAAAACAACTTGCAGTTAGTAACTTCATCTGTGAATTTATCCAATACTCAACTAGAAACAATCAAGGCTACAAAAGCAACACTTTATGAAGTAGTAAATTTCGATGCTCCAGGAACTTCACAGGTATTACATATTTATTACTTTTTTGAAATTATGAATAGATCATTGCAGACTACAGGCTAAAACCACCTCTTTCAATTATAAAAGCTACATAAAAATTGCTGAGTACATAAAAATAGATAAAAAGATTGGTCATAAAAGCTACATGATAATTGCTGAGTACGTGAAAATAGATTGGTCATGTAGGATACAAGCTGAAACCAACTCTTTTAAATTAGAGCTAAACAAGCTCAAAATCATCACATAAATTTATGAATACTTACTAGGGCTCAAGATATAAATAGATTGGTCACAAAAGATTGTCTCTCCTATAAATGTATGATGATGATGCAATGTAGGTTGCTATTATGAGTGTTACCTCACCTAAACATTGTGATTTCAATGTAGGTTGCATTCCACAATAAATTGCCTCGCCTAAGCTTTGATATCACATTGTAATAAAAAAAAGTAGGATGCTATTATAATGGATTACCACACCTAAACATTGTAATCTCAATATAGGTTGATTTCCACACAAAATTGCCTCGCCTAAGCATTACATATTTAATAATACATAATTAATATAAGATGCATCCTCAGATTCTAATCATCATCATTGCTCAACTAAGAAAACATAAAGCAAAAGAGCTCATACCAGAATTGATTACCAAAGAAAGCTTTCCATCATTAAGGTCAAACTGCGCATTATATTATATACCAAAAGAAGCGAACAACCAATACCTCAATGTAAGCACAAATAAGCAACATGCTCAATTAGCAACAAGAATTAGTAAAGGCTTCTCAAGCATTGCCCATATGAAGTTATATATTTTAATGATGCAGGAAATTCAAAAGGTAATGATAAATCTGTCGATTTATTCAAAGTATAACTACCTAATTGCTAACTGCATTCTAATACCAACTCTTTCAATTATAGGTGTACTTTTTCATATGTGATGTGCAAATCATTGGAGTTGTCAAGGAACTGGATTAGCTATGTTAGATGTCCAGATTGTGCCAAAAAAACACCATCAACTTTGGGGAAAGTCTGGTGCAGGTCATGTAATACAATGGTTCTAAGGGTAGATTGTACATTACAAGACATTTTAAGAAGCCAAGATGAGTTGGCTCAAATCAAACCATTTGGAGGGATAACAGTTGTTCTAGGGGGAGATTTTAGGCAAATATCACCAGTACTGCCAGGAGGTAACAAGTATGACATATTGAACACTTCAATTAGCAGTTCTAGATTATGGAATGAATGCAAATTATTTGCTTTGACGCAAAACATGAGGCTACAACAAATAGAATCTGAAGACAATGGCATGGCAATAGATGATTTCGGAAGATGGGTGCTTAATATTGGAAATGGTCACTTACAATCAGTAGAAGATGCATCTAACAATGGTGAGCCATTAATTGAGATACCAGAAGATTTCATTATTCATTCAACTGGAAATCCATTACATGATATTATATCCTAGACTTATCCAAATCTGCTAGAAAACTTTTCTAATACAGGCTATTTACAAGAGATAGTAATCTTGACTCCAAGAAATGAAAATGTAGATATTATAAATGACATCATTCAAGAAAAAATACAAGGTGAATAAGTAACTTACTTAAGCTCAGATTCCATTTGCGCCACTTCTCCAAATCTGCAAGAAAATGAAGCAAGCTACCCTATAGAATTCCTCAATTCATTAACATTTCCAAGAATGCCAAATCATCAAATAAAACTAAAAGTTGGAACTCCAATCATGTTGTTGTATAATCTAAGTCCAACAGAAGGCCTTTGCAATGGCACGAGGATGATAGTAACACAATTGATGAAGTGGATAATAGAAGCAAGAATAATCAGTGGGTCCAATATCGAAACAAAACACTTCATTCCAAGATGTGTCTTGACAAACACAGATTCAAAATGGCCATTCCACATGAAGAGAAGACAATTTCCAATCAGACCATCATTTGCAATGACAATAAATAAAAGCCAAGGACAAACATTAAAAATTGTGGGATTATACATTTCCAAGGCCATGTTTTACACATGGCCAGTTGTATGTTACTGTCTCCAGAGTAACTTCACCGAGAGGGCTTAAGATTTTGATAGAGAAGGAGCAAGAACAAAGCAAAAACTTTACAAACAATATTGTTTATAAAAAAAATTTCAACAACTTACAAACAGGTATAAGTTTTAACATTGTATAAATTTAATTTTATGATATTAAATGCTAGCTTTTGAAACGTTATATGAAACTCTTCATTTCTTCAGTATAACATTAAATGCTATAAATGATCTGGGCATTAATAAAGAGATCAACAAATTTATTTGTTATATCATTGCACTATCTCTCATATTTACAATGATATAATCATGATACCTAACTAGTGAAATTTTATTTTCAATGCATATTAAAAGCCACGTAAAATTAGCTTGCTACATAGACAACCATCAGTTAAAAAACTAACAGACAATGATGCTATCATTACAGTGGAGGTGAGTACAATTTTAAAATAAAGGAAGAGCCAATGCTTTGAAAGATAAACATCAAAAAAGTTGGTGAAAGTCTTAATATTGTAACATTATCTGTGACACAAATTGTATAATTAATGCTCTCTTAATTCATAAGCACAACGTTCGTAACAATGTATTAGTGCTGTGACATAGAATTTTATTTACTTTAGTTAAATCAAAATCAATGCTCTATTCAAATCGTTTACTACTTTGCCAATTTCATGTCATCATTCATATTTTTATGAAGTAATTTCGCTCAGATTTTTTTATTTTGTCAAAATTTATTGCCTCAAATGAAACGTATAACATCATATGTATTGCATTCTAATAACGTAGTAAACAACACCTCATCTTGCTATGAACATTGTAAATTACTTTGCAATATCATTTTATTGACCAGAAAATTTGTCAAAAACTCAATTTTAGTTAAAACAAGCTCAATAACTACAGAATATGAATTACGAAAACAAGAACAACAACTCAAACATGCAATCAAACTAAAACAAATATATCACAAAACAGAAATAAAATAGCTTGAAATCAGCATAAAAGCATGAAAAACAGCAACTATTCCCACAAAACATATGGCTAAACAAGATCAAAATCAATAGCAGGATGAGTGATTATTTAGTGCGGCTCAGGATATAAATAAATGGGTCATAATAGATTGCCTCTCCTATAAAAGTATGATGCAATGTAGGCTGCTAATATGATAGATTACCTCACCCAAACTTTGTAATATCAATGTAAGTTGCATTCCACACATAATTGCCTCGCCTAAACATTACATAATTAATATAGGATGTATTCTCAGTTTGTTATCATCATCATTGCTCCTCTTAAAAAACTTAAATAGAAAGAACTCATACCACTATCAACTACCATAGAAAGCCATTCGTCATTAAGATACAACCAAGCAGTACATACAACAAGAAGCCAACAAACAATACCTCAATGCAAGCACAAATAGCAAACTATATCAATTAACAAGAAGAATATAACAAACACAATCATTAGCTATATGAATTGCATCATCTAAAATTTCCTATTACCAAAATATATTACTTTGTGTGGGTATTTATTATTTAACTCCATTAATGCAAACATATATGCAAATCACCAGAAGGAGTAAAATAGACTGTTGTGGGTATAACATAAGCTAATAAAAAATTATGTTACTTAAACCATCAAAGGGTGGATGTATCCCATTATTCGCCCGTTGAATTGCTCCATCAAAGATATATGTAAATCACATGAAATCAACAATTCACAAGAATTAATAAAGAATAAACTCCAAGAACAACATTCCACAATCAAACACAGCGGTGAGATTTCGTTTCATGTTAAAATCATGCCTTAACACAGAAGTTAAGCGAAGGAAATTAATATTAGCCCTTTGAACTTTAAGACTTCAATGACATAGCAAACAACAGTGTTCAGGAAACAATCAAATAACTTTCTTATGCATGTCTAAATATATTACGTTTCTACAATTTGAACATTTATGAGCAAATGTCACATACTTTTTTCATGTCTACTTCTGATCATCATAAACTATTATGATTAACCTATTAATTTTCATTTTCCTTTGCCTTAAAATTACACAGCAAATAAATATATATTCTCAAATACTCATTGAAAGTCATGCTCAGGAAAAAAATCAATAATACAAAAATTTACTACTTACAAACAGATTAACATGCACAATAAATGGATGAATCCCATTCTTGGGTCGTTGCATTAATCCCTCAAAGGTATATTTAAAGCACATGAAGTCGACGAAAACATGAATTACTAAAGAGGAACGTCCAACAACAAGATTCAATGATCAAACACAACGGCTACATTTCGCATAGTGTTAAAACCATGCCTTACTACAAAATTCAAGGGAAAATGATTAACAGCAGCCCATTGAATTTTAAGAACGTCGATGGCATGGCAAACGAGCAAATATTAAGTACTTTTTTCATGTTTACTTCTAATTATCATAAATTGTTACGATTATGCTATATTTTTGCTTTTCCTTTGACTTTAAATTACACAATATAGAAATATATATTCTCATATATTCATGGCAAGTGACGCAAAGGAATCATTTCAATAATAGAGAAAACAGCTACTTACAAAGATATCAACATGCAGAAAAATGGCAAATAAATGAACAACGGACGAAAAATGAATAATAACAGGCCAGAATAACATGCGAATAAATTTCAAAAGAATTCAACTACTTAAAAGGATATTAACATGCAAAATATTAGGATATTTCACATGCAAAACTAATAATTTTATTTTTAACCTAATAATAGATAGATCAACTACTAATTATAAAAATATAAAGGATCAAGTAAAACAATAATTTCCAAGGAATCAGAGATTCAATTGCTTACAAAGAGATGAACGTGCAACTTAAAAACGAAAAAATTCTTCAACAAACAGGCTAAAATTTGATGGATCAAACGCGTAGTAAAGGAATACACCATCAACTTCAAAGATTTGATATGCCTCTGATCTTTCAATTGCATAAGGAGAAGGGATGGACTAAACTTTGATTTTCCCTAAGGAAAGGATGACATAAATTAGGGTTTTCTCCGATCTAGGAGATTGACGGATCTACAAATTAGAACGGCAAAGAGGAAGGGTATGGAGTTAATGGGGGTTTCTTCCGACGCGATGAATCGACAGATGTATAAAAGAGAACGAACGACAATGAGGGAATCGACGGGTCTAGAAAACTTTACGCTTTTACAAATAAGTCTGTCACATTTGATTAAATAACATATAATTCCATATGTTGTGGCAAATTAAAGATTTCTCATTTAAATCAATTATTGTTTAAAAAAGAATATTCAATTTGGTATTTTTTTTCGCAAATAAGTCATTCCGGTATAACAGAATTAAGGTTTGCTTAGGTCTTGCCGTTAATTCTCAGTAATATACAACTTGCTCTTTCCAATATATCAGATAATAATAATCAATAATTTATCAATTAAATGTATTATTAAATAACACTTTATTTATTTAATAAACATAATGTATTTCGCATTTCGATTGTTAACAATATTATTTTGTATGCTACAATCTATAGAGTGAGACGTAATATTAACGCTAAGATAACCCGTTTTTTGGCTAATGGCGATACAAATCTAAATTGTGTCTTTGTTTATAAACAACATATCCAAGTTCATTTCCCATTTCTCCCTGAAGTATGTTTTATGATCGCAAAGCATATGAATCAATCAATAACAAACCTGAACTACAATTAATATACTCCATTCAATCATCACTAACATACTTCATTCCCTTCATTCATATAACTTTCGACAAAAATTGAAATCCATTCACACTATATAACAAGTTAACATATGCATTCCATAAGCATCCATCTAGTTCACTAGTGAAATACATATCAAATGACAAACATGTATCAAGTTCATAAAATCGGATCAACTTCACTCCGTTTTGATTCCCAAATCCATATATAATTTATCAAAATAAAGTTTCAGATTGCTCTTTACAAACCATCCTTGTTTGCTTGGTCACGCACCATCTTTCTTGTTCTTTATTGCTACAGATGCTTCATCTAGACCTTTCATTATCTCATTTATCAATTTGGAAAAATCTCTAGTTGGTCTAGGGGCTTCAAAATGATTGGAAGCACTCGTGCTTTTGTTTATTGGTTTCTTGAATGGCAGTTTAACGCTGTGGACTGATGGTTGAGTAGCACGTCTCTGAATCTGAGCTTGTTTTTGTGTTTGCTGATAGAAAAGAGTTGGCTGGGACGGGGTTGATGAAGGAACAAACCTTGTACCTTGTACGCTTAATGTTTGAGTCCCCAAGAATCCGCACTTACCCTAAATCCACCATTAGCTATAACCATTGGCCCTGTCACAAATGTTCTGGTTAGTATATAATATGCATCACCAATAAGAATTGAGGAGTCGGTATTTGAGGGAGGACTTGTTCAGTTTTGTCCATGATTAGCAATAGCCTATTGTTATATAGAACTAATTAGCAATATCATGTGTGTGTGCGACGTGTGTGTATATGTATATGCATATGTATATGTATACATTTATGTGTGTATATATGTATGTATATATATACATATATCATACTCCCTTTAAAAGAGGGAGTTCTAGAAAAACTTTTCCTACCCAAAAATGCCCTTCATCTATCATAAATTTAAATTTAACAAAGTTACCCTTTTTTAATGCTACACAGGAATCAGAAAATCAAAACCCTAAACGTGCGTCCTTTTCGTTCTTCATTCCATCGTTTACGATTTCGCTCCGGTTTTCAGAAAAATACCAACCCTTTTAGTCTTCCTCCTCCTTTCTTCTATTCTCCATCTCCTACATCTCCAAATAATTCACAACAAAATCCCAATCCAAGATCCTAATTTCTCACCTAATTTGTTCCATTGATTTCTCTCGCAATCGGAGACAACAATCTCAATGTCGAGCTCGTGAGTCGACCCTCTCAGCTTTCCTAATGTCCCCAAATCTTTGATCTCAAATTTTTTCATCCAAGTTCTCTAATTTTTCATCCATTTTTCTAAATTCTAGGTTTTCTTTTGGATATAAGAAGAATCAGTTCCTCGGATTCCAGGTGAGAAAGCTATAATTAATAGTTTAATTATGTGTTGTTCTTGTTATCCATTACGATTCATATTTATGGCTCTTGTGCAAGTTGATTGAGAGTTTTATATTGCAAACTTCTTGTTATCCATTACGATTCATATTTATGGCTCTTGTGCAAGTTGATTGAGAGTTTTATATTGCAAACTAATAGATAAGTAATACACCAAATACATATGGCTCTTGTGCAAGTTGATTGAGAGTTTTATATTGCAAACTAATAGATAAGTAATACACCAAATACATCAAGTAACATGTAGAGTGAGATGTCTATAAGAAACACATAGTATTTTCATAGCAAGAATGATAAGAGTAATGATTCATTATCAATCAAAGCATTTAGCTACATATTTCATAAAATGAATGATACTTATAGATTTGTTTGTGAAGTGACCACTTCTAAGCTTATGAACAATGCATGGTCAATAAGCAAATCACAATAAAGGGTCTCGATAAAGAGTCTTTAGCATAAGACTGGTAAGTCTAAAGTTTGTAGCTCGTAATTTGGTGTTAACTTTAATATATACTATAATATGCACCCATGGAACAAATGGACCTAATGGTACGTGTCACTTTAAATTTGACAAACATAATTCATATACCCAAGAACTTGAAACCCGAACCTCTTCTTGCAAAGTTTCTCCAACATTTCCTCTGAAAAGGAAAAGATCTTCAATGGATCATTGCAAAATTTTCTATAAAATTGGAGCTCGACTACCTGCTCTATAAATGTGAGTTTATTTGTTTGCATATTATAACTCTTGGTTAAGTTTAGTACCAAAAAACTCATTGACTTGAGCTACAATTTTCCACATTATCTCCCTCATCTTCCTCATTAGGTGTAGAGTAAAGCTCAGGGGCATTAACTTGACTATAAACTAGAGCTATACGACCAACTTGCTCATAGCCCCCTGATTCCTAAATAGAACAAATAGCATCTCAGTGTAGACATGCTACCTCTGTTATCCTTTAATTTGGCGAAAAATCTAATATGTGTACGTAGCATTCTACAAATACTATGTTGCATGGATCTATATCCTTTAGTTCCAGAATAGTTTTGAAGATGTAATAAATGTAAGTGAATCACAATATCATTTGTTGATTATGTTTTATCAATTGTCTTATCTATGTTTTCCTCATTCAAGTTTATGCATATTATTATTTTAGTACTAATTTTTTTCTTCATGAGATTATTGTGTTTGCACTAATAGTTTGTTCGTGTGTTCATCTTGTTTCTTGTTAATACCGCAGTTGCTAGAGAAGCAAAGACCATTAGATGTTGCAGAGGTGCTTCGAAGTAAGCTTAACTATTTTGATGAGCTTATAAATTCAGTATTGTCAAAATAACAGTTGATTAATATTGCACACTTTAACCTTGGTCAGATTATTAAAGTGGTTACGTTTTACTTAAGAGTATTATAATACAATGTAGGTATTTAGCAATTTGAATCTAGGATTTCCCAGGCATCATGTGCTATTCCTCAAAAAGAAAAGTAACAGTGGGGTAGTGATTTGGTATGGCTTGTCATTTGGAGGTTTGTGTAATTTTGAGTTTGGAAATACTCGCATATGCTACATAAATTGACAAGAAGACAAATTAGCATCATAAAACCGAGTGATGGGGCTAATTGGACTAGGGTTATGTGATACCAAAACAAGCTCTTAAGAAAGTTACGTTAGTTCTGTTTAGACACTGCGTGATATTTTGCTCCAGAACAAAGGATTTGGTTTCAATTAAACACTACTAGACATTTCCCCTATGGTTTTGGTATTTGACTCCTGTGAAACTTGGTCTTGCAATAAATCTTATGCTAGATTTTTAACATAAAAGAAAATTCAACGTTAAATCTCTATTGCCTATTGATATACATGGAATTTTTAGGCTATACCAAGGCAGGCACAGTGGGCTGTCTTCTTAACTCTTGGTCACTGATTGTTTTGGCCTTTATCACTATGTTGATAGAAATTTCTTTCCTTCTATGCTTATTATTTTATTATATAATTGTTTATAGAAGTTTCTATCAATTTCTTTTCTGCAAATGTAAACATTAGGAATGGCCAATTCCTTCCTTTCCTTAAACAGGTCGATGACTGGAACTTGTACGGTTCTATTATCTTGTCTTGTTGCTTAAAAATTAGTTAACTTGTGATTCTTCCGATATAGTCCTATTATTTTACTTCGTATAATTTCTTACACTTTTAATGATTTTTTGGTGGAATTTGGAAATTAGTTGTACGCATTCATTAATTATATGTGATGTGAGGAACTACTTTGAGCAGAGTGATGAATTAGTTTGAGTTGTTGATATCTCCTATGTCCAGAGCTGGAGAATCTCCTCAAAGAAGCGGCTTCAGATATGTTGCACCTTATAAATTTAAATTTCATACATATTGTTCTTAGTTTTCTTAGCAATCTACCATCTGTTATGCCATGTAACTTTTTTTTTTTGTTCCTGTAGAATCTGCTTTTACTTATAAGGACTTATAATATTACACTAAGTTTGCTTTATGTTTGATATTTTGGATTTTTAACTTGGTGAGATACTGATATTGCTGTTGTAGGAAATGTGTATCCCGTATTATTGATATGTAGGTTTCTCTTTATAAAATGTGTTGACTTGCTGATTGTCTTAGGTACTCTATAAGGATATACTGATATAGATGTTCTTAAAGCAATCACCACAATCAAACTATTGAACCACTTATGGCCTAGCTCTATGCGACATCGAGAACGAGCAGCACGTGCAACACACATGCTCTCTAATTTATAATTAATGATGAGGATAAGGCACAAAAAAAAATTTCACTGGTAAGGTTTTTCTAATAAATTCACTATTTTTTTGAAGGACAACTTTCATTTTGGTTTTTTTCCTGAAATATATCATCTTGATAGGGTTTTGATTGAAATTTCTTGGTGGTTCTAGGTCACGAACCTTAAAAATTCTTGTTTAACTATATTGACCACTGGATTTTTCGAGAGGCCAATCTTGAGTTTATATATTTCTCTTATGTGGATTTTTTAGGGCCTCAGTAGCAGAGAACTAGGGGGCATGTAGAAGACGATGCTCCCTCTAGAAAAATGGAGAGGATCTCCTTATTCGCTTGTCGATGGTTGATGCCTCCAAAACTTTTTAGTGGTAAGTTTTTCTTGAATATCATTATTAGGTCAAGTTTTATTGTTTTGATATAATCTACCCACCATATTCCTTGTACTCATTATTAGGTTAAGTTTTAGTGTTTTGAATTAAGATGCAAGATATTATAGGTTGTTCATGAATGTAGTGAGGTTTTCTATTCTTTTTTTCTTTGGGTCTACTACAAGCAGTACACACACAATTTTTAGGTATCATAGACTTTCAGGCTTGAGCAAAATTATCAAACCATCAATGACACAATGTAAGACTCCAATCTTTTGCTTTGTATTTTTTAGAGTTCATGATTTCCTATGTCATGGACAAGGTTTAAAATATCGGTTATCGGGGGTTTATCGGACGGCCAAAATCCTTATCGGATAGCGGAAATCGGGGATATATCGGGGATAAGTAGTATTTATCGGAGTGATATACTGGATGATGTGTATATATAATATAACAATTAAAAAATGTAATCTAATCATGCTTAATGAAATATAAACATACCAAAATGTAAATCATCATGTTTAGAATCATTAACCAATTGTAGAAAGCGAAACTTGCATCATAGCCTTGAAAAAATATAATGTTAGTCAAAATGGGCCGATAATCCCGATAAAAAAGTCTTACTTATCGGCCGATAAGTGCCGATAACGACGATAAATCGCCGATAAACCTAGAAAAACGATAACTGATTAAAAATCCAATTTATCCTAGCAGAGAGCTACCAAATCCGATAACTCGGCCGATAATATCGATTATCGGCCGATATTTAAAACAGTGGTCATGGATGATCATAGTTGATTCGTTTTTTTTTAATTTTAGTAGTTTTAGGATTTCGTTTTAAATATAATTATTCCAACTGTATTGTTCAACAATTTTGTTTATTTTATTGTAGTCTATAAATAGAGAAATATATATCTCAAGTAAGATGTGTTGTATTTGATACATTTCTTGAATGTGTTTACTAATCTTTTCTTTTCTCCATTTTAAAATTAGATAGAATTCAAATTAGGACTGTTAGACTTGATCCAAAATCAATGTTAGATCGGAGATATGATTTGCTCTACCTTTTGTGAATGGGGTGAATATTTCTTATCGAATCGAGAAAAAT